CCTTCCAAAAGCCTTCGCAAAGCCCTTTACAAGGCTTGTCCAAGTGGCTCAAAGCCTGTGCAAGGATATTTTGAAGGCTTGCAGAAGGCTTTAACAATGCTGAAGCGGTTTTGGGAGTTTCGGGACCCTCCAAGCCGCAATTGGAAAGCGCTGTATGAGTTCATTGGGAATTGGCGCATTTGGATCAACTTCTGGTGCAGGGACCTTTTGCTTTGGAGACCCGAAGCTTGGAGCTAGCTTTTTTAAAGGTTCTCAGGCCGAGGCCCGCATTAATCGAGGGCCACGAATTAATCGGGTGGGCTAGGGGCTGAAAGGGGATACCCTTAGAAACCTTGAGAAAATGGTTTTTCTAGATAAATGTTCAATTCAAAACCAGCTGTTCCTGAAGGCTTGGGATTTTGGAATTTTGTGACTGCTGCTTGCTTGCTTTGGAGACCCGAAGCTTGGAGCTGCCTGTTTTCAAGGTTCCCAGGCCGAGGCTCGCATTAATCGAGGGCCACGAATTAATCGGGTGGGCCAGGGGCCGAAAAGGGATATCCTTAGAAACATTGAGAAAATGGTTATTTAGATGGATTTTCAATTCAACACCATCTGTTCCTGAAGGCTTGGGATTTTGGAATTTTATGATTTTGTGGCTGCTGCTTGCTTGCTTTGGAGACCCGAAGCTTGGAGCTGCCTTTTTTCAAGGTTCCCAGGCCGAGGCCCGCATTAATCGATGGCCACGAATTAATCGGGTGGGCCAGGGGCCGAAAAGGGATATCCTTAGAAACATTGAGAAAATGGTTTTTTAGATGGATTTTCAATTCAAAATTATCTGTTCCTGAAGGCTTGGAATTTTGTAATTTTGGGGCTGCTGCTTGCTTTGGAGACCCGAAGCTTGGAGCTAGCTTTTTTAAAGGTTCTCAGGCCGAGGCCCGCTTTAATCGAGGGCCACGAATTAATCGGGCGGGCCAGGGGCCGAAAATTGGATACCCTTAGAAACCTTGAGAAAATGGTTTTTCTAGATAGATTTTCAATTCAACACCATCTGTTCCTGAAGGCTTGGGATTGTGGACTTTTGTGGCTGCTGCTTGCTTGCTTTGGAGACCCGAAGCTTGGAGCTGCCTTTTTTCAAGGTTCCCAGGCCGAGGCCCGCATTAATCGAGGGCCACGAATTAATCGGGTGGGCCAGGGGCCGAAAAGGGATATCCTTAGAAACATTGAGAAAATGGTTTTTTAGATTGATTTTCAATTCAAAATTATCTGTTCCTGAAGGCTTGGAATTTTGTAATTTTGGGGCTGCTGCTTGCTTTGGAGACCCGAAGCTTGGAGCTAGCTTTTTTAAAGGTTCTCAGGCCGAGGCCCGCTTTAATCGAGGGCCACGAATTAATCGGGTGGGCCAGGGGCCGAAAAGGGATATCCTTAGAAACATTGAGAAAATGGTTTTTTAGATGGATTTTCAATTCAAAATTATCTGTTCCTGAAGGCTTGGAAGTTTGTAATATTGGGGCTGCTGCTTGCTTTGGAGGCTCGAAGCTTGGAGCTGGCTTGTTTAAAGGTTCCCGGGCCGAGGCCCGCGTTAATCGACCTCGCCATGCTAGCTGATTGGTGAGAGCACTTGGAGATGAGCTCGCAGCAAACGTAAGGATCATCGTGTCACCCTTGCAACATCCTCATGAGGGCACGTCCGGTCTAATCGGGAGGGGAGTTCCCTATAGTTGAGGGTTTGGGGTTTAGGGCTCGAGGGCTTTCGCGGTCCCAAGCGTATCATCCTCAAAAGTGTACATGAGGGCAGGTCCGGTCCGATCGGGGGGGAGTTCACTAGTTGAGGGTTTGGGACTCTTAGGGCAGTAGAGTCACAAGCATGTCATCCTCAAAAGAAATCTCTTGGAATCTACTTGAGGGCAATTCCGACCCAATCGGTGGGGGAGTTCACTAGTTGAGGGTTTGGGGTTTAGGGTTTGGGGCTTGAGGGCTCGCACACATATCATCCCAAAAAAAATCAACATGAGGCCTGGACCGGTCTAATCGGGCGGGTTGACTAATCGGACGGGCGGGCATTTTCGGGGGGTGGACCGGTCTAATCCGGGGGGTTTATTAATACCTTTCAAACATTACCAAATTCCCCAAACAATGCTAAAGACCTGGGGCGGGTGGGGGGGGCCCTCTCCCACTACTAGTTCGTCGTAGGGGCTGAAGGAGTTCGAAGTACCTGCTATAACGACAAACTCTTTCAGGGATGCATGGGTACCCGAAAAACTGAGTTTTGGTATGTGTTCGGTTGCCTCGGTAGTTCTATCATCGTACCTTCGGCGGACCCTCTGGAGAACCCTGGGTTTCCATGTAAGCCCTTCGGGTGAGAAGGTTCAGGGCTTAGGGTTTAGGGCTTAGGGCTGAGGGTTTATGCTTAGGGGAAAAGGGAGTTGTTCCCAAGTTCTTTTAGGGTTTAGGGTTTGGGGTTTAGGGTTTAGGGTTTCAAAGAAAGATCCCAACAAGGGGACATGATGCAGACCAGCCCTCATGCGGGCAATGATTTCCTACCCCTTCGATCTCTCTGAAAAGCCCCCCCCCCCCCCCCCCCAGCCCCCCGGGAGGGACATCTACAGTAACACCACTGTGTAAGAAACCAATGTATAAGAAGCTAAGACCCTAGGTCCGATTTGAAAACTCTACGGCACTGTCCAGTTCTGCAGCTTTGGCCCCAAATCCTAAACCCTAAGATCCTGCCATCCTGCTCGTCATGGAGGTGGGGAAGGGCTTTGAGCTGTTCGGGTGAGGTATGTGGTCCCTGAACCCAACCAAATGGTGCCTCTAGCCAGGGTACAAAATACGATTAGAAGGCTCAAGCCTGCATACATGGGTTTGGTCTAGTGGTATAGCGTACTCCCTTAAGAAACGAATTAAGTAACCAAGACTACTCTAGTTCAAAACCCCACTGAGTACATGGGCGAATGGAAAGTAAGAAACTTAGGGTACCCTACCGGAAAGCCGGTTTCTTATACAACGGCTTTACTGTAAAACAGATCAGGGTGAGTCGAAATCGCTCCGTCAGGGTTATAGGATCCCAGGGTTCAACTCCTACCAGAGTTTAAGGTTTAGGGGCGACGGCTGAGGGTTCTTCTTCGCCACTCAGAGTGGATATGGGTAGGTGCGCGGAGCAACCCACGAGCCCTATGACCCTCAGCCCTCAATCCAAAAACAGTGGGGTTCACCAGGAACCCGTGGGTAGTTTCCTAAAATAGACTCCCTTTTGGGTACCCATTATAAGGCGGCACCCTTGAAAAAGGGATCCCAAAAAGGGACCCAACCCATGGGTTTAGGGCTTCAGGGTGGGTTTTACTTGTTGGGTTTCGAGGGAGTCCTACTGCCAGGGAACCCTAAACCTTGACCTCACGACGCACCACCCTTCATCCCCGTTGCGAGAATGTGGAACATGTGCTGCAGATATTGGTCGATTCTCTTGGTTAAGCCTAAACCCAAAACCCTAAACCCTAAACCCTAAACCCCTTTGCAGTTTGGGGATCCCCGCTAGAAGACAAGCAAAGGAGCCGGCCGACTTGACCCCAGTTCAAGGTCATAGGGGATAGGATTAGGGGGACCCTTGGGGATATAGCCCTCTGAATAACGTCCCTGTTTAAGAGAGCCAGAAGAGGGTTCAGAAGGGGTTGGGGTTAAGGGCTTAGGGCTTCGGGCTGAGGGCTTCGGGTTTAGGGCTTAGGGCTTAGGGCTTAGGGAGAATCCCACTTATCCTACCTAGGATGGTCACACCCACAGACTTCCAAATGAGAGAGATCGACTCAATGTACCGGCTCCAGGAGGACTCAAGTGCCATTTAGGGTTTACGTTTGGGTTTAGGGTGTGTCTGGGAAGGTAGGGTTCCTTGCTTGATGGGCTCTGAACACTTAAAGGTTCCTTCGGCGCCCTAGACCGCACTAAGCACCGAGCAACTCTTCGGTGGCCATGGCGGCGCACTCCTGCACCTGACTCGTTGGAAGGGCGGGGGGGGGGGGGGGTAGGGTTTGGGCTTAGGGCTTAGGGTTTGGGGTTTGGGTTCAGGGTTTAGGGTTTCGGGTTTAGGGTTCAGCAGCTCATGTACTGGCTTTCACTAGTCAAGCAGCTTTTCAAGCGACAGGAAAATACTCACTCCCAAAATACTCAGAAACATACATTTTATACTTTTCATCAGCAAGCCGTGTCCCCCAACCTCACTCCGTCATGGTCATGGAGCGGTCCATCCCACCTTCGAACCACTCGGTCGGCCCCCTCTTTTCGCTACTCCAATCTCCAACCCAACTAGACATTGGTCCGGAATGACCAAAACCCTATTTTGTTAACCTCATGTTTTTTGTTTCGCCCCACTCAAGATGAAAAAGAATAAGGGGGGGGGGGTGGGGGTGTGGGCAGATTGGGCAGTGAAGGGAGGGGGTGGGTGGGGGTTGGGGGGCAAGGGTTGGTGGGGTTGGGGGGGGGGGTGGGGGGTCTGATCCGAAAAAACGGACCTTGCACCTCACCATTGTTGGCAGACATTTGACGCTGTTTTTTTGAGATGCCCGGCCCCCCCCCGCCCGCCCGCCCCCCCCCGCCCGCCCGCCCGCGTGTGCACAGACACATACACTACACAAAACATCAAAGAGCACACCCACACACACACACATACATCGACCGACAAACATCGCAGCACGCAGCACATCGACCGACACACACCAGGGCTCTTTTTACTGAACAGACTTGTGAGGTTACCCGGGCCTTTTGATCCTACATTCCGCCCCCCGGCAGCGTTAGGAAAGCAAATGGAAAACCCTACTATTAATTCAACACCCTGTCTTATGAGCCTTGTAAACCCCGCACTTCGAGGCCGTGGAGGTGGTCCAGCACTTTAGGCCTCCTTGCCGGCGGTCCTCGTTCTTCTGGCACGGCGCGCCCAAAACCACATCCTAGGATGTTTTCGGGCTTCTGGCCGACGACAGCGCCCAAAACCTCGCCGGTGTGGGGGGGGGGCGAAGGTGAGCATCAGCCGCCAGCCAGCGACTTCTCGCTGTGGCTGCGCTTGACGTCTCGGCGCAAATGATGAAGCTCTCACTCGCTCCTCTCTTACTTTCAGCCGCGCTCTCACTCCCATGCTCTCACTCTGTTTCGTACGTACTCTCTCTCTCTCTCACACACGCGCACTCTCCCTCCTTCTGTCCCGCAGCAGCACACACAGACTGTCTCTCACTCTCTCACTCTCTCACCCTCTCTCACTCTCACCCTCTCTCACTCTCACTCTCACTCGATCTCATTCTCACTCTCACTCTCGCTCCCCTCTCTCCCCTCCCTCTCCCTCCCTCTCCCTCTCCCCTCTCCCTCTCCTCTCTCTCTCTTTCTCTCTCTCTCTCTCTCTCTCTCTCTCTCTCTCTCTCTCTCTCTCTCTCTCTCTCTCTCTCCTTGTCTCCCTCTCTCCCTCTCTCTCTCTCTCTCTCCCTCCTCGTCTTTCTTTATTGCTTTCTTTGGGGGACCATATCGATCCCTCTCGCTCTCTCTTTTTTGTTGTTTTTCTCGATTTGTTTGTTTTGTTTCTCTTTCTTTATTTCTTCTTTCTTTCTTCCTTTCTCTCTCTCTCTCTCTCTCTCTCTCTCTCTCTCTTTCTCCCTCCCGCCCTCCCTCCCTCCCGGTCCCTCCCTCCCTCTGTTCTCTCTCTTCCTCTTCTCTCTCTCTCTCTCTATCCCTCTCTTTTTCTCTCCCTCTCTCTTCCTGCCCAACTTTGTCGAGGAATGACATGGCTACCACGTGGTGGCTGACTGGTCAATGAGAACGGCCATGTCCTGCATGACCGCGTGCTGCACGGCATGGCCCGGCTCGGAGATGGGCATCGCTAGCAGGGAAATGGAAGAAGGCCCACTCAGAAGGCACAAAGGCTGCTCGAGCAGAGGGTGCTACAGCAAGTCCCAATGACGAGCACCATTCTTCATGGAGCCGCGTGTTTCACAGCTGCGGCTGGGAAGTGACCCCCGCAGAACGGCCGAAATCTGAAAAATACTTCAGGGAACCTTTTTGCTTGCAGGGGTTTATAAGGGAACCGAACTCCCCCAAAAGGGAATAAAGGTACAGCGAGGATTCCCAGTAGCTCGGTCCGAATCCCCAAGACTTGGGGGGGGTGGGGGTGGGGGGCGCTTGGCGCTTCATTGCTTCAGAACCTTCATGACGGGACGAGTACTTGGCTACCGAAATAAGGGTTGCTTCTTGGGTCCCTTATTCAAGGGTGCCTTAGGACCCTGGGCCTGAACACACTTGTTGTGGGCAATGTAATGTAGCTTGGGTCTAGGTCTAGGTTTTAGGCTTGAGGTTTGATCTGGGCTTACCCAGAAAGGTCCGCTTCTCGCCTACTGTGGATTACAGATTCAGGGCTTTGATGAGAAAGCTTTGAGGATTGTTCTGGTTGGCTTGGGGATTAGCCCTAACCCCTATAAATCCTAAACCCTATAAACCCTAAACCCTGAACCCTGAACCCTAAACCCTGACCCCTGAACCCTGAACCCTAAACCCTAAACCCTAAACCCCTAACCCCTAAACCCTAAACCCTAAACCCTAAACCTAAACCCTAACCTGCGCGGCGCCTGGCGCATGCGGAGCTCTGCTTGGATGCGCCGTTCGTTGCTTTTTTGGAGCTCCTGGGTGGATACAGGGTTCAAAGGGTTAGAGGTTGGGGTTTAGGGCTTCGGGCTTACGGTTTAGGGTGCAAGGTTTAGGGTTTAGGGCTTGCGGAGCCCCATTGTCCACTTATGGTAGTCTGGTGGACCTAGCTATGCCCAAAACTTGCAGAATCATCCTCTCTTGTCTGGCAGAGGCTCCCTCGAAGAGGCTGTAAACAGAGTAGCCTTGCTGCTCTAACATAGGAGTAAACAGACTAAAGAGGTAAGGTACACTTCTTGGGATGTGCCCTAGCAGTCCTTACAAGGAATTGTTCGATAGGATTTAGGGTTTAGGGTTTAGGGTTTGGGGTTTAGGGTTTAGGGTTCCCTATGAAGGACTGCTAGTATAAGGGGGAACATCCCAATGCACTTCCCTCGTCAAGGTTGCCGAGTGCCATTGAGTGTTTGAGGCTCGAGCAGAAGTGCAGGTATACATATATATATATATATATACACATGTATTTGCATATATATATATATATAAATATCTTGGTTTGCAAATACATGTGTTCCGCCACGTTCATGTATGTAGACATATATATATATATGTATTTATCTATTGAAAATTAGGCACATCTGCATAAATGCAAGATGCAGCATCAACTCGGGACCCCTAAACCCTGAGAAGCCCAGAAGGACCACAAGCCAGCGACGTGGCTCTGTGGCTTGCAGGCCCCCTTTTAGGACCCGTAACGTCTAGGATTTCGGGTCTAAAGGCTCCTGTGTAGCACCTGTTTCTCGTGGTATCCTAGAATCCTGAAGAGCCACTACACTCGAGCTTTCAGCTGGGAGTGCACCCTGGACCCTAACCCTAAACCCTAACCCTAAACCCTAAACCCCAAACCCTAACACCAGGCTTGCTGCAGGGCCGTGGAAGCCGGTCCTGGTTCAGACTCCGTTGAATCTGCCCTGCTTGTGTCGCCTGCAAGATTTCTTTGGGTGGTCAGGGGTTCAAGGTTGGGATGTTCCCCCTTAGACTAGCAGTCCCTAATAGGGATTGTACTACCCCCCCCCCCCCCCAATTGAAATCCCTAATAAGGACTGTTAGTATAGGGGGGGGGGGGGGGGACATCTCACGTTCAAGGGTTTTTGAAGGCGTAACCCTTACTTCCCGAACGTGGCCAAGGATATCAAACGGCATCAGGCTTGCGGGTGACTGGAGGCTCCAGGCTATGTTGGTCAGAGGTGTCTGGCTCTGAACCCCAAGTCAAGAGGAGTGTTCTAGGGCCTATGGACGAAGAAAACTAACTCATCCCTCAACCCTAAATCCAGAACCTAGAGCCCTGAAGCACAAACCCCCTAACCCAAAATCATTCAAGCCCTACAGCTGTAGACCCTAGCTTCGGTATAAGGCTCGATGCTCCTGAGTCCAATGACAACGGGCTCAGAGATGGCGATTTCTAAACCGACTCCCTGTTGGGTTCGGGTTAGGGCTTCGGGCTTCGGGCTTAGGGTTGAAGGCTCAAGGCACAAGGGTTAAGGGTGTGGGTTGAGTTTGGCTTTGCATCTAAATGCTGTATGGAACTTTCCGGTACTAGTCTACAATCTCCTAAAAGATTGAAAGCTGTGCAAGTATTTACTTAGACGTGCTCTCATGTATTGCAATATGCAATGTGTGTAGTCCAAGGTACTGAAACAATGTAGTGCAATGCCAAGTATACTGTACCATAGGGTACTGTACTGGATTGTGCAGTTCTATACTGCATACTATGCTGTATTGTACGTACTATACCGTATACTACACTTTCCCTAGCCAAATTGGATGCTAGGTGGGATTGGGTGGGGGGTAAAAGGTAAGGGGGACTCCACAGGACTATCTCTGTCGTGCCAAGGGCAACTGCTCAAGCAGACAGCTTCTGGTGATGGTGCTTGTTTTCTGCCCAATAACCAAACCTTACACCCTACAATTGTAGTGCCTTCTTTCGGGAATGCCTTCTTTTATGGCTGGCTTCACGTACGGAAAAACAAACGGTCACCCGCCCCAACAACACTACAACGGGAGTCTAGCAACACCGCCAAAACTCCAAACCCGAAACCCAAGAGGGTCTAAACCTCGATCCTGACAACCAGCACATTGGGGTTTGCAAAGGCATTTGAGCAAATCCTAAACCCTGAACCCTGGACCCTGAACCTTATCAACCCTAAACCCTAAACACCGAAACCCTAAACCGAGTGAGCGCGCCTCTCCCTGACGGTGTATGGACTCAAGCCTCGGGGGCTTAGGGTTTAGAGTTTAGAATTTTGGGCTTAGGGTTTACGGTTTAGCAAATACCCTAGCGAAACCCTAAATTCTCAAACCCTAAACCAGTTGAAAGCTGGGTTTTACCGTAACTGGCTCTGCCAGATGTGCCTAGTATGAAGAATCGGAGCTGTTGAAGTTACCTGGGCTTGGGGGGGTTAGGGGTTAGGGGTTGAGGGGTTAAGGGTTTTCCCTCCGTTATGGGGTTAGGGGATGGCTATGGACAATGTCAGAGATTCTGAAACCCCAAATCCATTCACCTTAACCACTAAAAACCCTCTATATATATATATACCCTTATCAGGAAGAATATTCATTCTTGGGGTGGTTCTTAAGCAATTAGTAGTTCAGTTTCTGTATGTCCAACAGGTCGAAGTTTAATGCCCCAACCCTGAACCCATATGAAGCAGGGTGTATATTTCTCGTACCCCTAAAAGGACACTCAATACATACACTCACCAAAATTCAAAAGGAACCCTTTAAACACTCACCAATTGCAGGAATATAAACCCTGCTTCATATCACTTCTTGCCCGGCTTTGAACCCAAAACCCCAACCTTTCCCCGAGCCCCTTCTCCCACCCCCTCAGCCCTAAACCCTCGAACTTCCCTATGCGCGAGACCATAAACCCTAAATTCTAAACCCTAAAACCTAAACCCTAAACCCTAGACCCCAAACCCTAAACCCTACACCCTAACCCTAAACCCAAACAAAAACGACCAGCTGCATGCTCAAGGCGCTGTGACACGCGCCGCTCTGCGCGCTGCAGCGCCACGGCCTTTGCCATTGGAGGACCCTCAGACCCAAAGGATCCATGTACCTATATAGTATATACTTGGGCCTTCATGGGGTTCCTATATAGTAGCTTTAGGGCCCAAGTATACTCTAAATAAGTACATGGATCCTTAGGGAGAGAGATTGTTCCCAGCACGCGCACGCGAATTTCTTTAGGGTTTAGGGTTGAGGGTTCAGGGTTTCGGATTTAGGGTTTAGGGTTCAGGGCTTAGGGCTTAGGGTTTAGGGTCTTAGTAGCCCAGTAACCATATCATCATAAGGGTGCCCATTTTTTGGTTGGTTACGTTATAGGGAACCCAGAACGCAACAAGGGTAAAGGGTAGTTCAGGATCTAGGGTTTAGGGGTTGAAGGTTTCAGCATTGGGGGTTCAGGGTCTACGGTCAGACAGATAATCCAAAGTTGAACATTCTACCAGATGTGCCACTTTTAAGGGCACAAAAACAACAACTCTTCCTGGCCTGTCATATGAAACCTTGTCGATACGGAAACACATGCCCCAAATTTCATCCCCCTTCAATCCCCCGCCTCCTCCCTACTAACTATCCCCGTTGCCTGAAACCTAAACCCCCCAAAGCCTCCTAAGTTAAGGTCCACACCTGAACGGTTTGGGGTTTAAGGGGGGCTCATGGTTGCCGTTTCAGTGCTCCCCTAAACCCTATAGCCTATAGACCTTAACCCTTGATTTTACCGTTTCGCTTATAGTGTCTAGGGCGAAACGGTGTTCTGAAGTGGTACCCAAACAATTGGCAAGTAGAGTTGCTGGCAGACATTTGTCACGCCCTAGATGCCTGCTCCACAACGCGCTTCCGCTCAGTTGACAGCTGCTGCTCCAGTCCTGACTTGCGCGAGCCCTTTACCCAAACCCTGAGCCCTTAAGAAAAAATGTATATATATATATATATGCATAATATGCTTCCTTGTAGGGGGTAAGATAGGGACTACATTCCTTATTTTTTTGGAAGGGGTTCTGAAGCAAAAAGCAGCTCGAATCCCTCGAAGCACCTTGGTAGTTCGATTCCTTGGTAGTTCGATTCCGGAGCAGAGGCTTAAGACCTACTGGCCCAAAAACCAAGGAAATAAAAGTTGAAACTTTCAGAATAACTACCTTATAAGAAGCCCAAAAGTTGAAAAGTTGGGTTTTGAGCCAGTAAGAAGATGGCGTGAAGGTGTGGAGGTCGCCAAAAGCTCCTAGCTGTCAGGCCCAACGATCTGCAGCACCTCCTAAACCAGCAACTTCGGGTTCTTTTGGGTACGTTCTTCGGGTTTAGGGTTTAGGGTTTAGGGTTTATGTAGGTGTTAGGGTTTAGGGCTTTTTTTCTGGGATGCAGTGATTAGGAAGTTCGGTTCTGCCCCTCCAACCTCCAACAAGGAAGCGGAGGGTGGGCGACTCTGGGTATCGATGACGTATTGCATGCATAGGGTCGACAACGAAGGGTCAGAGGGGGGGGGGGCGAAGGGGGGGGGGGGGGGGGGAGGGTAAACCCCCGTTCCTCACCCACCAAAACCCTGGTTCACCCACCAAAAACCCAAGAAGGACCTTCCACAACCCCCGGTCCCCCACCAAGATTCCGCTGGTTGCCGTATGTAGTTACGCCACTACCCCTGTGAGACCTGCCCTGACCTGCACTACCCCCACACTCCCCCTCCTACCCCTGACCCTCAAAAACAACGGAAAAGGGTACAAGAACTTGGTTGCAGTCCGGGAACCCTACCCAACCTGTCTCTTCCCTGCCCCACCCGACCCAACCCTGACCCTGCCCTACCCTACCCAACCCACGCTCCCCCTCCCCCACCCTCCCCTACCCTACCCTCCACCTGACCTCTGCCCTGCACACCATCCCTTTGCCAGACAGTTGCCCAGCTCTTCCCCTAGCCTATGCTGGAGCAAGCGGGGGGCGGGGGGGGCAGGGAGGGGGGGGGGGGGGGGGGCGTCCGCTGATTTAACCACTGGACATAAGGCATACCCGAAACATCTTCAAAGCATTGTCATGCATGCGCCGACGTAATCCACCCCTCGCCAGGGCGCGCGAGCAGGCTGACAAGGAGCGCTAATCATTCAGGCAGTTTTTTTCCACCGGTCCTCCTAGCCCACCTTGATCGCGGATGTTCCTGAAACCATGATCGATATCATCAGCAGTGATTAAGGAACAATACTCTAAGCCACCACCCTAAACCCTAAACCCTAAACCCTAAACCCTAAACCCTAAACCCTAAAGAACGATCTCCGAGGCTTGGTGTCGGACTCGGGCTCGTCGGAAGCGAGGCTCCAGCAAGCCGAGGTGGCTGAAGCTGAAGTGTGAAAAGTTGACCTAAACCCTAAACCCTAAACCCTAAACCCTAAACCCTAAACCCTAAACCCTAAACCCTAAACCCCTCAGGGTCCATGTACCTATGTGGTATATATCTGGGCCTCAAAGGGGGTTCCCATTTAGTAGCTTTAGGGCCCAAGTACCTTCTATGTAGGTACATGGACCCTTAGGGCTGGCGTGCCTGGTTGTTTTGCAGTGTTGAAGTTGCTTTGAAGTGGCTTGGCATGACTTGAGGGTTTAGGGTTTAGGGTTTAGGGTTTATAGGGTGCATGTTTGCGGTATCAGGTGTCAGAAGCCCTATATAAATGATAGAAGGGATTCGGGGCTCGACATTCAACTCATCATACGTGGGCCCTCTGTGTAAGGCAAAGCCCTGAAGCCCCTAAACCCTAAAACCCTAAACCCTAAACCCTACAACCCAAACCCTAAACCCTAAACCCTGAACCTTAAACCCTAGACCCAAAATCCCAGGTCAGTCCTGCCACCCTGGCGCTGTCCAACGCTGCAACCTTCGGTTCGCGCGCTTGAAACACCCAGAAAGCCCAACACCCTTCAACTGAGGAGCGTGAAGGGTTCAGGGTTTAGGGTTTGGGGTTTAGGGTTTAGGGCCTCTAATTGAGGAGCCTGACGGATTTGGGTTTCACGCTCTTATAGGGTTTAGACAGTAGTTCGTAACAAGTATCCCCTTCAAGTTTAGGCTAGTTTTAAACCCGAAGCCCTAAGCCCTAGACCCTAAACCCTAAACCCTAACCCTAAACCCTAACTCGCCCCTTGAGTCTATGTCAAAAAAAAAAGTGAATACTTTTTTCTAGTTTTTGGGTTTAGTGTCACTTTAGGTGTAGGGCATAGGGCTCAGGGGATGCGAGCTGTTTTCTCTCTCGCAACTTCCATGCTGCCACCAGCCGGCGAGCTCCTGCAAGAGTTGGGTTCAGGGTTTAGGGTAGAGGGTCTGCAGCAGTTGGGTTCAGGGTTTAGGGTAGGGTCTGCAGGAGTTGGCTTCAGGATGGTCTAGGGACCCATTGAAGTAAACCCAGACCCCGAGCCCTAAACCCTGGCCGTCCCTCACTGGGTTTTTCTTGGGGTTTAGGGTGTATAGGGTTTAGCCAAATGGGTTTAGGGACCCATTGAAGTAAACCTAGACCCCGAGCCCTAAGCCCTGGCCATCCCTCACTGGGTTTTTCTGGGCGTTTAGGGTTTATAGGGTTTAGCCAAATGGGTTTAGGGACCCATAGTCATTGAAGTAAACCTAGACCCCGAGCCCTAAAGCCTGGGTTTTTCTGGGGGTTTAGGGTTTATGGAAGCAGGCGAAGCCTCGAATACCTTTTTCTGCAGTCAAAAACTCGGATCCAAGCACTCGTCTCAGAGACGCTTAGCTTTGCATGTCAGCAACGGCCCGGGCAGCAGATCTACTAAAGTAGGGTTACAGGTTTAGGTTGAGCACACTTAGCCACCAACACCCTGCCGGGCGGCCGGGGACACGCAGCAAATCAACTTTGGAAAATCACTCAGCTCCGTTCTCCGACTCGTTTGCCACGCTCGCCGCGCTCTCCACGCTCGCCGCGCTCGCCGTGCCGTCTCCGCGGGTCGCCGCGCCTGCTGCCACATTGCCGGCTCCGCCCATCGTCTCATCCATGATTTTCACCATTGTCTTGGCATCTCGCAGCAGCGCAGTTTCCTCGGCAGAGTTGTCGACCTTCCCAGCAGCATCCTTGCGAGCATCGCCGTACTCGTAGAGGAACCATCGAAGCTCGTCCATGTGATTGCCCATGTCTGCACTGAGCTTCTTCATGCGCTTGGCACGGGACTCGGTGTCCACCTCGCTCATCACCTCAGCCTGGCGCTTGGTCGTTAACGTTGTCATCATCACGCTCACTTGCACCGTGCCAGTGCTTGGCGGCAGCTGGTCCCCGGGAGCATACCAAAAGGCCTCGGGTTGTGGGTTTAGGGTTTTTGGGTTTTTGGGTTTAGGGGTAAGGGTTTAGGGTTAAGGTTAACAAAACCAGCACCAGCCCCAAAAACTGCTTTACATATTCTATACTTTGGTCAGGACGCCGCAATGGGCGACTTCTCGATGTGGATGAACTTCCCGACGGGCCCCTCATTGCGCCCAAACACCTTGAGCATGTACCTGGGCAGCACAGGTGCTTTAATTTCGTTTGGGGCAACGCGTTTGCGATTTTAGGCTCTAGAGCGTTTAGAGTTTTGACTAAATGGCCATGACGGCGGGCATGGTTTGGGGATTTAGGGATTTAGGGTTTAGGGCTTAGGGTCGTGTCCAGCGGCTTCTTCCCCGGCAGGTCTTCTGGCTCGGTGACCCAGAGGAGCATTGCCAAAGGCTCAAGACGTGGCCACAGGATCGCAGCTTCGTTCACTGTCTCCAGGTGGGTTTTCAGGTGCCTCCCACGAGCAGCTTACACCCTGCCTAATGAACCCAACCTTAGGGCTAAACACTTTTTTATGCAATGAGACCGACCTCTTGAGCAAAGTCTCCACACGCCGCGTCTCCGCTGAGCCAGCCATGTACCATGTGTACACCGTACTCTTCGGATCATCGATCGGAACGCACACCACGTCCAGCTTGACCTTTGACACCTCGATGTTGGCCCAGCTACACTCGCTGAAATCCAGCTGTGGCACCTTCATGGTGCCAGAATTGGTCAGGATGACTGTGCGATCCTCGACTCGGCCCTGCATAGCCTCCACAGACAGAGAAATGATGGAAAAAACCTTGCTCGTCAGCAAGCTGTACGCCACCATGCTTGTCTTTGGCTTCTGCAGCTTCGCAGACCAATCCACACCAACCCTCAGGACTACTGTCAGGGTTGGGTTTCGCAGGATTGGGCTTCGGGTTGGTCGAGGGTTTCAGGTTCCGGGCTTAGGGTTATCCGCAGCCAGGTAACTTTCGGCCAACGTGCTTGATCTGGTCCTTGATGGCAGCCTCCATGGAAACATGGAACTCGAGGTTCTTCATGTACATCTCCAGGCTGCCGCTGCTGGTCATGGCATGGAACCAAGTCTGCGCCATTGTGGCCAAGCGCAGCGGTGATCCCGAGGCTCACTTGATTGGATGTAGGCGCTACGGACACGCGTCATCGGTCCATGTCTACCACATGACACTCAACCCAAAGCAACACCCAAACCCTGAATCATCAACGCTACGCAGCCTCTCATTCCTTAAAACGCTCTAGAAGTACTCATGGGGTGCCTGATTGTTCTCACGGCCTCACCACGCCCACGCCCCCAAAAGCACAGAAGCCCCTCAGAAACTTTAGGTTGGTTCAGGTTTTTGAACTTGGATTTGGTCTTCTGGTTTGGAGTGTGGTGACAACTCATGTCGCTGCCCTGATGAGGGGTTAAGGCTTTGGGTTGCCCTAAACCCTAAACCCTAAACCCTAAACCCTAAACCCTAAACCCTAAACCCTAAACCCTAAACCCTAAATCAAAACACTAAACCCTAAACCGATATAAACCTATAAGGCCCAAACCCTGAACCCTAAAACCCTAAACCCTAATCTCCCCTGCAATAAACCCTCAGGGACTATTGAAATTGCCTAGCGCCTACCCGAAAACACCAGGCCCTCAAGCAAAGTCCTCTCCAGGATGCCAATCCGGACGCGCAGGGTTGCCGGGCAGCTGCTGGCACGGTCACCTCCACGCTTTTGGTTTGGGGTCTTGGCTTCAGGGTGAGGGACCTTGTCCATCATGACTGTTACTGAGATGATACTAAAACCCACCCCCACCCCCCAATTCTGAAATTCGCTTGGGCCGGAAAATATTTAAGGCGGGGCCAAAACCCTGAAACCGGAAAACCAGGCCCAAGGAGGGAGTCTGCGGTTCGGGGCTTGGGGTTTAGGGTTCATTTAGTAGCTTAATAAACCCGAGTGAAACCCTCGAAGCCCTCAGCCCTAAACCTTGAAACCCCCTCAACCCCCCCCCCATTATCACAGGCTTGGTAATGGGCTGGGTGCTGGTGCGGTCCGGGACAAACAATATTTAGAATTAGGGGGGTTAGTATCAGGGGAAGGGATTAGACACATGAACGCTTCTCTCATGTTGATGGTTGATCTTGACTTACACGATTAATCTACTGTCTTGCGCTCAGGGGGAAGGGCGTATCTGTGCTCTCCAACCCCAACCCTCGCACGCTCTTTCGTAGCGCTGCGCCCACCCATCACTTCTCGCCTTTGCCATTGCTCAGATGGCCTTGCATGTTCTGGTACACGCTGTCGGGATCCCGTCACTTCTCGCCTTTGCCATTGCTCAGACGGCATTGCAGGCGCTGGTACACGCTGTCGGGCACGCCATCTGTTTCGATGCTCTCAACACACTGCTTCCAGTTGTCAGCCGGAAGCTCGGAGATATAGCCGGCCCACAAGAAGACCTGCCGCAGCACCCTTTCCAGCACACAAGTGGGTATGCTGTTGCCCAAAGCTCGCCCAAGCTGAGAGTCGCTGACCCCCGACGTCGCCATTGCGTTCCAAATGCCAGGCATCACTCCTCCACACATGCAGCGGAACCAACGGTAGTGGTAGTGGTAGTGGTAGCAGTACGTGGTACTAGAAGGAGTAGTAGTAGTAGTCCTTGAAGGCCTGCCATCTCTCGCAAGGTCATAAATCGGTGTCGCCCTGGAAGGTAATACCTGGCTTGGCAGGCGGGGGCCATGACATCAGGGGTTCAAGTGCTCTAACTTAATGCCAGCCCAAAACCCCTAGAAGCGGACGAGACCATGACAACCCCCTAGAAGCGGACGAGACCGTGACGGCCCAAAATCCCCAGGGATGAGGCGAGCGACGCCCGAGAGGCTCCTCTGGTCGCTGTCACGGTTGGCACCATGCCCACAAGAGCTCGAGCATGCTGCCCTGCTCCCACATCCACGACAGCGTCGCGGTCCCTGAGCCGCTTTCCAAGTTTCTGCTTTGCCTGCGCAATGGGTTTAAGGTTTAAGGTTTTAGGGTTTAGGGTTGAGGTAGGAATGCATACCCACAACAGCAGCAGGAGTACCAGGTAGTAGTAGTAGTAGTAGTAGTAGTAGTAGTAGTAGTAGTAGTAGTAGTAGAAGAAGAAGTAGTAGTAGTAGTAGTGGTAGTAGTTGTTGTCGTCGTAGTTGTGTCGTCGTCGTAGTAGTAGTTAGTAGTAGTAGTAGTAGTAGTAGTAGTAGTAGTAGTAGTAGTAGTAGTAGTAGTAGTAGTAGTAGTAGTAGTAGTAGTAGTAGTAGTAGTAGTAGTAGTAGTAGTTGTAGTAGTAGTAGTAGTAGTAGTAGTAGTAGTAGTAGTAGTAGTAGTGTAGTAGTAGTAGTAGTAGTAGTAGTAGTAGTAGTAGTAGTAGTAGTAGTAGTAGTAGTAGTAGTAGTAGTAGTAGTAGTAGTAGTAGTAGTAGTAGTAGTAGTAGTCGTAGTAGTCGTAGTAGTAGTAGTAGGTAGTAGTAGTAGTAGTAGTAGTAGTAGTAGTAGTAGTAGTAGTAGTAGTAGTAGTAGTAGTAGTAGTAGTAGTAGTAGTAGTAGGTGACACGC